CGGTTAAAATTTTATTGAATTAATATAAAGAAGGTTCTTTTTTTTTTTTTTTTTTTTTTTTTTTGAAAGATTTGCGACATTTGTTGTAAAACCAATACATCATTTAAACATGTCTGTGGTAAGGTGATGGTACGTTTAGCTTAACAAACAAAGTATGCTTTTCTGCATTTGTTTACATGTTTTTCTGCTTTGCTCTGACTTTGAAAAGAAAATTGATCCTTCCAGGCTGTGGTTTGACAGCTACATGTGCTGAGTAACAATTAACGCTCTCAGCAGCCTCTCTGTTCAAACATGAAACACATTTTCCTCACCAATTCAAGTCCATTGTTAATAAACATTTCACTGTTGGTTATGGTTGGTCAGACAACTAACCAACCATAATATGTAACTTTTAACAAATATGGAGAAAACATATTTTGTAAAACCATGTCGTGACAGTATTGTATGAAAAAAATTGATCTCCTTTCGGTGCTACAGTTTCTGTCTGAATAAATGCACCACTCCCAGTAAAAAGCAACCAATCAGAGCCAGGAGGCAGGTCTTAGCGCTGTCAATCAATCTCGTGTTTCATGCAAATGGTGGAAAAACAGCTTTTCACTACAGGAAAACCATTTATCTGTCATGGTCGGTAGCTATGGTAGCTAGCCGTAGCATTGTTGTCGTGAACAAGTTTCAGCTTAGTAAAGGCTCTGATTAGTTGATTCTGACTGAGTGGTGTATTACTGCATTTAGCCCTGGGAGAAAGCAGAGGAGCTTGATTTTTTTAAGGTTATCTGTCTTATGTCATACTGTCATGACATAATGATGATTTTTAACAAATATGCATAATGCAGCTTTACCTGTCATGATGACACCAGTGTTCTCATGGACCCATTGGTTAACATGTAGGCCTTTTGAACATCAGTTATTCAACACTGTTAAATTAGCAGTACACACAAATGAAATTCACCTTGTACACATCTTAATTCTTTAATTTTCATCTATCTTTTAAGTAACTAGCATAAAATTCGACAAAAAACCTCTAAATATTTCCTCCATTTAACATCAAATGTCTATACTTGCTTTTTATTGTAATACTTTTGCCTTGTTAAAGATGATGGATAATTCTGTTCAGGACTTTAGTAGCTTTTATAATGATCTATATGAAACTAGTGAATGCAGGGCCGAGGCAGAATATTACCTTTTAGGGCTGACAATGTGGCATCCAAATCAATAAACCCCCCACCCCCAATGCAGATGTTTGGTTTCTGATCTGCTGAGAACACGGTGGTCTCACTCTGAGTACTCAGCCTGGATCCACAGTGAAAACACTGAGGCCGTTTCACTTGCTTACTGATCAAACCATAACAGACATCTCAATTCTTTCATCAGCGTGATGAGTGGGTTTGATAACCACTATCTCTTGAAGAGGAGGACAGAGCTGTTGCCATAACAATAACCCTGTTGTACTCAGAATAATGGTGCCCAAATTCCAGGCATTTACAGAAACTAGACACGACTACAAATCAGCCGATACCCACCCGGTACCAGAGAGGGGAACCGCTGGAGAAATCCCGAAACCTCTTGACTGTTTGACTTCAGTTTATCCCCAGAACCCTTGATTTCTTTATTCTATCCTGTCTTTTTATTTCTTTTGCGTTCTCTGACTGTCTTTTTCTGTTTGGTTCCCCCTCCCTCCCCGCACTCTCTTACCTTTCTTCTAATTCAATTAGTCCTTTGTCTTATCTGCCTCTTCGCTGCTCTCTCCAGCTAATCTGATTATAAAGGAGAGCTAGCAATTAAAATACAGATATGAGAGATTCTTTTCATGTCGCTGCCTTAATGAGATCCAGCTTTATGCGTGCTGTCCAGCTAAAGTTCAATTAGGTGGCACACTTGAGCAAGTAAGATGGTCTTCTTGTGGAGAGTACGGTGCAGCAAGTCAGCCACTTGTGACTAGTTCAGATTCTGCCCACCAGCAGCTGCTTGTGAACATCTCGCAGGAATGGTGTCATTTATAGTCAGGGTAAAAAGAAATAACATTTTTTTTTCCAAACCTCTGCTGTCAGAACATGACTAGAACTGCAAGTCTTTTTAAAGACGGCAATGTCCTATGGCACATTGTCCAATGTAAGACAGAAAGGCACATTGCCATTTTACCATAAACAATATTGTTAGCCATTGTTAGTCATTATAATGGATTTAGCTTAATGTAGCTCTACTCCCAGCCCCACAATGCCTTGCGCATCCTATCCCATGTCACATTAAGTTAGCCTTGCCGGGTCTTTTCAGACTTAAACTGAGACTGCGGACTACCATTACAGTGCATTTTGCTTACTGGTAGTTATGCATCACATTTCTAAAAAAAATCATTTATAAAAAATAATCATAAATTTAAAAAATATTTCCAGACTACCATATCTATATTTCTAACAATAAAGGCTTTTTCCATAAACAATATTGTTAGCTATAATTTCAAGGTTTTTCCAATGTGGACTCAAAAATGAATAACATCTATAGTTCAAAATATTCCACGACAGTCTATATCAGAAATAACTTTTATCCAAGTCTCTATGTTTTAACAAAAAAAATAGTTATCGACTACTTCAAAAAATAATGGCAGTACATACCCATATTATACAAATTCATAATAAGTACATATTCCAGTAAAAATGCCAAACAATATTTCAAGATGTCTGAGAAAACTAAAGGAAAACTTCGAACTGTGTCCCATCTTCCTACGTCTAAACGTTTTTTAATAAAAGTGTTAACCGCTATACTTTCAACATTGACTTAAATTTTTAGAAATGTCTTAAAAATGTGTAGTTCATTAAGACATCACTAAAAATCCTTCCAGATGACCAGTCCAGATGTTAAACAGCTGGACTGATTTATGATTTCTATAAACTCAACTATTTTTCAATAGAAAAAGCTAACCTCCATTTTATACAATTATGACCCAAATTAATAAATGGATGAAAAATCTGTAATTCCTCAGGAAAGTATGGAAGTATTGTGCAAAAAAAATGTTTTGTGTGCATAACTTCCACACAATAGTTTTTTCCAGCATCCCAACAGATCAGTTTGTGAAGCAAAAATTAACCTCCGGTGGGCCAAGAAAACCTTCTGTGTTGTACATATGTTTTTTTTCTTATCATTGTTAGATGTCACTATGCTTCACATTCATGGCCATACCAGAAACATTGAATAATAAAGTGTGAAGTGAACTTTGTGTTCTTCATGCTGAGAACCTTCAGACCTGCTATTTGATCACTGAGATCTTCATTGGTAGGATTTTTACTTTATCCACCGTGTTGATGTATGGAAACATTTTGTCTGTGAAGGTGTGTATGAAGGTGTGTATGTGTGTGTTAGTATCCAGATCAGAGAACGTCAGTTTTCCTCTGTCCCAGTCCAGATTCACTCTGATCCTCTGGAACATCTTCTGAATGTAGAGTTCTCTAGGAGGAGCTGTTGCAGACTCCGCTGAATAATGTCTTTCATAGAAGCATAGAACCAGAAATCCAGACTCCATGTTTCCCTTCCTCTGGGCAGACTCTGCTAACACCCCAAGCTCCCAGAATTCACTGCCGCTAACATCAACATCCCAGCTGTGCTTTCCCGAGTTAAAGCCCTCAGAACTCAGGACAGCGCACAAGGTGTCGAACCTCTCTGGATTATCAGGAAACTGCTGATTCTCTCCAAAAGTTGCACTGGTCAGATCTTCAGACAGGATCAGTCGAGAATCAGCCGTGTTTGGGTCCAGGATGAGAGGCGTGTAGGACACTGTGTCCTTCATGTTGCTCCAGATGTTGAAGGCCAGGTTGCCCAGATGTTTGGCCTGGTCTATAAGAAATCCTGAGGGCAGCTGTGGATCCTCCAGCAGGGGGCAGCGCTGGACTCTTTCCACTGTAGCTTTGAAGTTGGTCAGGAAGGAGACGTCTTCAGCTCTCAGCTCCTCCTCCACGGCTCTGACTGTGTCTGACAGAGTTGCTGTCTCTCTGCTCAGAGCCTCCATCTTCTCCTTCATCACTCCCCACTTCTGCTCCTCTTCCTCCCTCAGTGCAGCCAGCCTGGCCTCCTCTTCCTCTGCTAGAAACTGATGAAGCTTCCTGAACTGCTCCTGAATCTGCCTCTCTGTGTTTTGGCTCTGGACCTTCAGATGCTCTGCGGTCCGATCAAACTCCTCTTGAACTTTCTTCCTGACAGTCAGGTTCTCCTTCAAAGGCTGCAGAGCTTGTTCAAGGTCCTTCTTGTGTTGCTGAGCAGCTTCATCGATGGATATGAATCTGTGCTTGGTGTGTTTTTCTGAATCTTTGCAGATGACACACACTGGCTTCTGATGGTCCAGACAGAAGAGTTTGAGTTTCTCAGAGTGCAGACTGCAGAGAACCTCTGAAGCTCTCTGAGCCGATTCTAAAAACGGTGGATCATCCATTGAAGATCTCCTCTTACAAACTGGACACTCTCTTGCTGGTTTCTCTCTCCACCAGGTCACCAGACACTCCTTACAGAAGGTGTGGCTACATGACAGAACCACCGGAACCATAAAGACATCGCGACAGACCGGGCAGCAGAGATCCTTCTCTGATCTGGAAGCCATTTAGTCTCTGAATGAAGCTGAAAACACAGAAGCTCCAGTCAGCCATTGGCTCCACTTCACTCAAAATGATTTTGAGTGGTGTTCTAGGTCTGACTCACCTTCAGTGTGAGGAGTGTGAGCAGCTTGAAACAGCAGTGTTGGAGTATTCCCCTTTTCTCTCCTTCAGATGGACTCAGTCAGAGAGAAGCTGTTAGTTTGTTCTGAAGAGAATTCTCTCTGCAGGGAGCAACAATCACAAATTGTTTCCTGCTTTAGTTCAGCTCCAACTGAGGTGTGTTTCATTCCAAAGTCCAGAATTCAACATTACAGCTGCTGTAAAAGTCACCGATTAACAGGTTTAATTTTGTCTATGTAGATCAGAACAGGACCAGTAGAATAACCTGGAGCCATTCTGGTGATCCAGAGAAATGGTAACCATCCCACATTGGACAGAGGAACTCTTCAGGAAGCAGAATCAGCCACCCATAACACCGCTGAGACAGCGTCTTACCCACGGTCAAATCTAATGGACTAAATGAAAAGACATCAGACGTATATAGCACTTTTCTACCATCAAAGGTTTCTAAAAGATGCTTTACAAAGACATACATTGATGATGGTAAACTACTGGATTGTAGCCACAGCTGCTCTGGGGCAGTCTGATAGAAGTCAGCCTGCCATTTCCTGCCTTCGGGTCTTATGTCCGACAGAAATGACGATTCCTGATAAAGACAAACCTAAAAAGAGAAAATTATTAAAATATCATACATATGGAAATGAATCCATGAAAGCTGAAAGATGTGGTTCATTGAACATAAAAAATTTATTTATTAAACACAAGGGGGCTTTCATAACTGAGTAATATTTATTCTTCTTTATAGGCAGGATTGATCTGAACAGTGTGCCGAATTTCAAGACACTCTGCCAAAGTTGGAGCTTCTACTGCTAGCACTAGCTAGAAACTTCATAAATGGCATTGCCAAACTTTTACATGGTCCTACGAACCTGGGTCAAACATTTTCAGCTTAATGAAAAGAACATATCAAAATGTCTTAGCCCTCTAAATGTAATGAATCACTTTTTATATTTTTTTCCTCAAAGGTTAAAAGTTAGATCTACATTTTTGTGCATAAGCCACGCCCACACAATCATTGCCAAACTGATAACATAGTCTCATGGTTGTACCCTGAAGATACCCACCAAGTTTCAATAAAACCCATTCTACCATTTTGGCAGTATAAATCTTACCTACTTATAGCGCCCCCTGGTGTTCGATCATGCTGAACATGAACATAAACATAATTTCACCTTTGGCACCATTGGTCTGAAAGCTATTTAGAAATCTTAAATCATTTTGAAGTTCCACTCAATAAACCTTTCTGATGCAAATATCTAAAATTTTAGAAAATCTGTTCACATCGTTTGGTTAGCCAATCGTTCAGAAAAACACAAGTGAGGAGAACTTTTCAGCATCTGTTTGATCATTGTGTTGACATGCTGAACAGGTTAATGTTTTGGTTCTGAGTAAAGCCTCATTTGCAACATGTCAACCACACATTTTGCTAATCAAGAAGGCTGCGTTGCCATAGCAGATGGCTGGATGTGTTGGGTGTACACAGCATTTAGGAGCAACGAGCACTCTCCTTCTCACATTCTTCACACTTACAAAATATTTCTTACCACACCTACAGTTAAGGATGTGTTTCTTCAACTGTGCCAAACTTTTTCCACACCTTTACTTCACTTTTTTTTTTACCCAACATCCTGTGTTTAAAAACACGTGAATGAAGTTGTGGGAAAAGCCATAAAGCCAGTCTACCAGCTTGATTGGCAATAAGAAAAATAATAAATCTCCAAGTATCTTGTTATGACTGTCTGATGAGTTTCTCATTTGTATGATCTGTGGAGCACACAGTCTAATCATCTTCAGGTTTTCCCAAATGCTATTTAGTAATTTCCCAATATTTCTTTTCTTATGTCATTATTTTTATCAGCTTTGGGATGCTGGGAGGAAGTTCATTCTGACCCCTGTTGTTACTTCATCTTCATTTTTTGATATTGCTCTGATTAATTCCCCGATTGGCAATATCTCACACAATATGGATTATGAACATGTTTCAATCAACTGAATATGCTGGTGGTATGTTTCTAATGTCATTTGTGCTTTGCTTCAACCAGCTGCAAAGGCACTAAAGGCCTAGGATTAAGCGCATATTTTCTCAAAGATTGTAAGTACTTAAATCATAACTAGGCTGTAAGTAGAAACTCAACTTGCAAAAAGAAAAAGAGTAAGAAAATGTAAAAGGACTCAAACAGGGTGCTTGTCACCTAGTCCTAGTCAAAGGTGTAACGCTAGATTCAGACAACAACACTTGATGCCAAAGGCAAAAGGCAATCTGCCATGAACATGGCAGGATTGTTAGGATGTACAATCAAAGTCATGTCAGAGCTCTGAACAAACTGTTGTGTGATTGCTCAGAAGTTTGTTACCATGTTTCATGCAGAAATGCACCTGAACGGCAATGTTGATATTTGCTTTAACTAGTCCACTTCTACTGTCTGTTTTTATCTGCAGGAGACATGACTACATCTATCTGACACAGTGAGTAATAATGTGCATTTTTACTTTTCTTCACTAAATAGCTGTTATAATAATCAGACTGTCAACCTGGACAGTAAAGGAGTAACGTCTACTTAAGCAGAGGGGTGTCCCTCAGGTGGTCTGCTTCTGAATGAAATTCATGTGTGAACACGAATGTCCCAAAACCACATGACCTAGCAATGACTGTTTGGCTTTGAAAAAAACTAGTGCCCTTGTTGCCCTGATAGAAGGCTAACATTAATCAGGTCTTTACCCTCTTTTCTTCCAATTTTGTCTTACTTTTCATCACTAACATCTAAATGTTTGATCTAGATGATCTAGAGATGCTGCGTTCAGATTGAACATAATTTGAGCGTCTTGGGCACATCTAGAAGTCTCGCATTTAAAACATTTTGAGCATTCTATGGGCATCAAGTTTATCCAACACTGGAGTTGGAAAATCTGAACTTTTTCTGCTCGATGTAGAGCGTCAACCAGTCAGAAAGACTCCACTATCTGATATAGCGCCTGTAGTTGGTGTCCTGTCAGGAGATGCAGGCACCGATCCGGTTCAGCATTTTGCCAAACTGGGCTCGGGTCAGACAGGAATAGCGCTGAAAGCGACCCATGTCACTAGGCAGCTAGTTTGTAAAACTCAAACTCACAGCACCTCTGAGTTATCTGGTGAATTCAAACATGGTGCAGAGGCGTCCAACGACAACATTCTCCTGCTTTTAGTAGATAAAGCCAAGAGACTCAATATTTCACCTGCCATTGTGCAAAGAGACTGGGAGAAACAAAAAGTCTAGATGCTCCTCCCGACATGTGTCATGACCTTTATTATTAAGGATCTGACTCCAGAGTGCATAAGTTTGAAGAGTAGGGTGCACTTTTGATGTGCGAAGCGGTCTGATTGCAACATTAATGTTATTGTGCAGTTTTGCTTTACCAAGTTACCTTGGTAATGCAAGGTAGTGTTCAAGGACTTACAGGTGAACTGATAGGTCCACTGTAGAGATATCCAACTGTCAGTTTCACTCTTAAAAGATAAAATGTGTATGTTTGGATTGGGAAAATTTGTCTAATAGAACACAGAACATCTAGCCATAACTCACAAACTCCAAGAGGCTTTTCGAAGGCATTTTGTTGTAACTATAGAACTGATTTCCTCATAGCTTTGGTTCCCACTTCATTCTCCAGCATTTTCTCTGAAAGCTTTGTGCCAGTTCCTTCCATGGGTTAGTGTTGGTCTGAGTGAGAGCCTTCCTATCACCACTTCTACAAAAGCAGCAAACACCATATGAGCAGAGGTGATTACAGTAGTATGCCCTTGGTGATAGCCGAATCAAAAGCTTCCCAGTCAGTAGCCAGAAGCCAAGTACTCATCTGTCTCTCTTGATTGCTACAGGCAAGTGGAAAACCTTAACTTATGCTAAACAATGATGAGTTGTATAAAAAAAATAATAAAAATCTGCTAAGTTGAGTTGCAGCTGGTTCTCAAAAGAATTACAACACAGAGATTCATTCCTATTCGCCGCCTCCAGTGATAAAGAAGCTGTCAAACAATGAACAAATATAATTTAAATAACAGTTACCTTAGCAAATTGAAACCCTTTTATTGGTAGCTGTTAGATTAAAATTATATAGCAGAAATTCTGTTCTTTTGCTTTCGAATGGCTCTTTGTTTTCCCTGTCAGCAGAGGGCACAGAGCAGCTGTCTGTGGACAAATGCAGCAATCTGTATAAATTTCACTCAAGGTTCCTTAGAGCTCATTTAACAAAATAGCTCTGTTCAGATGACATTTTGGAGGAAACTAATGCACAACAATGGTGCAAAATTTATCAAGTAAGAGAGAAAATTGTTTGGTGCTCAATCTAATGTCACTCTGTCGGCATTGCAAGTTTCTTGCGATGTTAAATTTGAGACTGTGGTCTTAAAAGTTTAGGAACTCCTGCATTGTAATATCTGTGGGATTAGCTTTGTGCAAAGATAAGTGGTCAAAAAACCCTTTCTCTGTATGCTCCACCATGGCAAATGTTACAGAGTAAGTTCCATCCATCCATCTGTATATCCTTGTCCCTTATTGGGGTCGGGAGGGTTGCTGGTGCCTTTCTCCAGCTAACGTTCCGGGCGAGAGGCGAGGTCACCCTGGACAGGTTAATTAATAGCTTTTGGGAATGGCCCCCAGCATTCCCTCTGGTGGTTGTTTTGAGACAAGAAAACAGAAAGCAGAAAAATCCAAAATGGCCGAACACCATGCCGAAGTGTTCATAAGCTAACCTCCTATTAGCCTTAAGGCTCTGTTGATTTGGACGAGATTTGTCCGTAAGTATGGATTATGACAAATATAATAATTATCATTTTATGATAATTTGTACATTCAAGTTAGTTAAGTAAATGTTTTTAGTTTAGCTTGCAGTAAGCATGTAACAGGCTAGC